TTTGTTAATCGACTTAGTATTACTCGATTACGGAGACTGGTCGGAAAGGTCGGTTCGCACAGAGTCACGTGCACCGCCCTTTTTTTGCCATGGCTAGGGTACTAGTAAGTCATATATATAATGACGTATAACGTGTGTATTTTATATGACGTAAATTATGACGCAAGTATGGTGAAAAGCGTCCTCAATTTCAGCAAAAATGCAAATTCGTAGCAAAACTAAAAGTAAAGTACATGTGTTTTCGAGCATTTTTTGTGGAGAACTCATTGTACTTAATGAAAAAATATCTTTCGTAGAGGTTCCACCCACTATTACTAGCACATCTGGCACATCAAGTACATCAGGTGCCGAAATAAATGAAAATATTGAAAGTGTTTCACACCTGCGAAAGGAACTATCTATGTCCAGTGGTAAAGTAGACTTATTACAAGTACCGTTTTGTGGAGAAGTCATTAATTGCTTTCTGCGAAAAAACAGCAGTTAGGCCAACCTTCCAAAATCTGGGTCAAGTATGGTAATAACCAACCAGCGAAAATTGTTTTCAATGGAGATGTACATGACTTAAAAAGAGCGATCAAAAATGAATTGTCAAATCAGTTAGGCAATGTTGATGTCGACAACATTACTCTAAGAAGACACGGTGAAGAAGTGGATTTGCGTGCGGATTTAACTGTCGATAAAAGTTTGATAACTACTTATGATACTCCTCTACAAGTCATCGTAAATGCATCTGGTATGTATTCAAGGTTTGTCTTATTTTATCACGTTGCTGAACTATTTCTAAATATGTTGGCTAATTGTTTCTTCATAGCTCTCGGTTCTACAGCTGGACCCGGAGTTGTTGAATTTTGGAAAAAATTTCTCGATGCAAAAATAGTTTTCCCGATACCACAAGATATGGAAGAAGCTGAATTAAATGTTTTAAAATCTTATTACACAATCGAAAGCGGTCATGTCTGTCTAAATAAAGGTGTGGTTACCGATTCAGATGGTATGCTATACAACAATGGAGAGATCACTAATATACGATTGCCGTCAAAGCTGATGGATAGTTTTGGAGGGATTCTGTGCTTGCCGAATGGCGTTTTCTTTCTCGGAGACGAGCGCGAATATGGATCGAAACTTCTCATACGAAATTGCTATCTGCAGTTGCTCGAGTTAATCGAAAAAGAATGTGGTAAAGAGGGCCCAGCCTCTACTGGTTACGCAATTACCGGTACACCTGGTATCGGAAAGACATATTTTGGATTATACCTCCTCTTTTACATTCGTTACAAATATCCTAAAGCGACAATTATCTGGAGGGGTGATGAAAATAAATGCTATCAATTCTCGCCAGATGGTAATGTGCAAAAAGGGAATTTCAGCCTGTTTGACAAGATGCTAGGAAATTCTGATAACTTCTACATTGCTGATGCACATACTATGACACGGTGTGAAGCCTATAAGATCCTGCTCACATCACCAAAGGCAGAAAGATTCAATGAGGCTGTAAAATGGAATGGTTTTACCCAATATTATATGCCAGTTTGGGAACTCGAGGAAATTACCGCACTTTGGACTCTTCTATATAAAGGCAAGAAAAATAAAGAAGGTAAAGAGTTCACATTTGAATTATTCGGGTCCTTGCTAGACCGGTGGGGTCCAATACCCAGGTCAGTTCTTTTAAAGTGGGATGATGAGACATATCAAAAGAAATTCAATAGATTAATTGACGAAACCGATTTGGAAGGCTGTATGAACTCCATTGATCGTGAAGGCATGCCCAAAGATACTATTAGTGGTAGACTCGTACATCTCGATGTAGATTCAACATTTACGGAAGTTGTGTATCGTTTTGCTTCTCCGATGGTATCTAATTCAATAATCCAGAAATATGAAACTAAAACAAAAACAAAGGTTCGTGATTTCATTATGAGCAGTCATGAATATTCAACGGGTGCTGGATTTCGAGGCAACCTCTTTGAAGATCTTGCCCATAAAGAGTTGCAAAGGGGTATTATGTTTAGAATACGGTGTCTGAATGATGATAACTCAGAGATTACTGAAAGACATATCCAGAAACTGGAATGTAATTGGTTCATGACATTGAATGAGGCACATAAAGAGCATTATAACAGACCAAAATCAAAGACATTTGCATCGATTGATTCTTTTAGCCTTGATAACAACACCTTGGCCTTGTACCAAATTACTGTTTCAAAGAATCACGGCATAAAGGTAATGATAATGGACATGTTATAGTTTGTTGTTATAACTTTTATCACTAACTCAGATTGTATAGGTAAAAGGACTTAACAATCTTGACCACCTCCCATGGAAAAGTGATGTGAATAAAATTAATCTATACTTTGTTGTGCCATCAGACATCTTTGAGAATTTTTCCTTTCAAAAATACAAGACAGTCAAAAATCAAAATTATCAGAAAATTAAATTATTCCGGAATGGATTAATAATATAACCCAATATGCACTAGAGATTAACGTGAGTTTAGGACAGCGTAATTTGAAGCGATCTAGTGATGCGATGTTGGAAGCATCAGAGATCAACGTGAGTTCAGGACAGCGTAATGTTAGAAGGAAAGAATAATAAGGTGTGAAAAATAGAAAACAAATAGATACTAGAGTAGATAAAGTCATGTTATTTTTTATTTACATGAGAGTTCCTATTTTGTAATATACTTTTATTTTTGCTGTATAATTCCCAGAGAGTCAATTTACATACATATTGTGTTTAATTTTTACATAATGATAACAATCAGTGGAAATGTTACATTTAATTTGGTGACTTGTTATTAGTAACCTTTCGCATCTATTTCATATAAAAAAATACAAAAACAAGTTGATGTTGAAAAGAAAGGGAATTGAGAAGTGATTTATTATTATTTTCAGTTCAGAAAAGCACTATTAGAGCTTCTTACTGTGCTATTAAAAAGTAAGTTCCCACAAATAGTATATACAGATCTAAACAGAAAAGTTAGAGCATATTTTTTGAAAAATCTCAGTAATAATATGATATATAAAAGAACAAATACTGCTAGAAAAATTTATGATATATTTAGCAAACTTGGAGAAAATAAAATTCAGCAGATTAAATTATTTACTGCATCTAGCTTTTCTGATTTAACTAGAAGTGAGATTAACATTAAATATATCATGAAAAATTTTTTCTTTAATGAATAGTAGATATATTAATCTGATATTTAGAAAACTTTGTTTTTTGCATAATGTCTTTATCAAAATTATAATAAATTACAATTTCATTACATATGTAATCATATATATTTACTGCGTTATAGTCATATAACACCATTTTGGCCCAGAATATCCTTTTGTAATTATAATTATAATTGTAAAAAAATAATTTATTCATTATTTTTATTTTACATTTCATAAGTATATAAAAATAAATTCTGTAATAGATATATATATTATAAGTCAAAAATACTAAAATCACTAAATATATTTTTTTTATAATTGATAAATATATCTGGTTTTAATATTACAACTATTCTTGATAAGAAAGATAGAGCATTATCTAAATTCTTTAATATTTATTCTAAATATAATCTGAAATATATTATTTTGTATATTGAAAATTATTTTGCTTTTTTGATGGGAAATAGTATGACTCTGATACAATAGACAATGCAAGTTAAAGTATCTTTATAGAATTTGTTGAATGCTGAAAAATTTAGTATGTATCATCAGTTTGTTTTATTTGCATTATTTAATCAAAATAAATTTGTTAATTTCAAATATTGTAGACTAAGAATTCATAAGAGTTATATGATTATTTGTTTTAGTTGCTAGAAATTCATAAAAATTGATAATATAAATTCTAAAAAATCATTCTATTTTACTAGACAAAGATATATTGATCATCTTGAATTTAAAGATCTAATACAAAATTATTGGAATCATGAATATAATAAACTTAAAATGAATTTTAGATATGTTAGAATTATATAAATAGCTTATCAAAATTATAAGAATAGATTTGAATTATTAGTAATCCAAGCTTGAAATACAATAAGAAATAATAATACTTTTAATAATAAGAAATTTAACTGCTTGCAAAGTGAAAAATTCTATATCTTTAGATTAATTCAACCTGTAAAAAGCTATAGAAGTTACAATGTATAAAAAATATGATTTCAGAATTCTTGATTTCATTTTTAATTAAAAATATGAAAAATATTATATTCTGTATAATTAAATAAGTAGCAAGAAAAACTAATTATAAGAAAGATTCTGAAAGTGACTTTTAAAAATAGAAATATAATATATACTTAATTAATTTACATGTAATTTAATTATATAATTTATTGTTTTTATATATATGCTTGGAAATAATAAATATATTTTTATATCAAATTTGTGAAATGTAAGCAATATATATAATGTATAAAATAATTATACATATAATATAGAGTTTCAAGAGAGCAATTCCATGTAATTGTGAAAAAATAATATATTTTATTTTTATTTTACACTTCTATCTATATATATAAATTAAGTAACTAATTTTTGTTATATATATATTTTTAGTTTATTAAAGACTTTACTAGTTATTTATTGTAATAATGAATTCTTATATTTTATAAATTTATTTATATAATATATTATATTTTATATCTAGAATTAGTAATATATTTGCTATACTTTTAATAATAATTATATTACCAATTACTTTGAATAATAAATATATTGCATCTGTTCTTAATCTTCTAAATATTTTATATACACAGAAAAAATAAGTTAAAAAACTTTGTTTCTTGTATAAAATATCATATTTCAGGAAAAAAACTAAAAATAAAAATATATAATGTTATCATTTCTATTGGTTTTATTATCTTTTAGATATAGATTATGTATTTTTCATGTGTTTCAATCAGGTAGGAGAATTATTAAAGATTTTTTATGTATTTTAAATAATTAAGGTTGAAAGAGACTAATTTAATAAAGATAGATAATAACATATTTATTTTGTTAAACTGCTAGAATGAGTTCAGAAATCTTTTTTTAATTTAAATGATTTTAATTATTAAGTAATTTTCTTTTATAACTAACTTTTTAATAAAATTATTTTCTTCTTTTATTAATTTCTAAATAAGATTAATTAATTTCATAGTGTAATGATGAGAGGTTAATTATATCAAATAAAAAATATTACTTGTTATAGATAAGAGATCTTTTTAAAATAAATAAAAAAGAAAAGGATAATTAATGCTTGACTGAAAAACTCTAACTCAATACTTATAATACAACTCACTTCTAAGAAGATTTTGTCAAAGAAAATTAAAGTGTAAGAAGATTAAAAGTGGATAAGAAGATTATAATCTAAGAAAATTAATATTCAAAAAAATTAAGAATCTAGAAGATTATTTTTCTAAGCTAAAATACATATTATTGTATAATAAACTTTAATCAAATATATTACTGGATTATTTATACTTAATATTATTGGATTATAAATATTTTATATCTTATTGAAAGAATCTAATCATATGGAATGAGCAAATAAACAAGTGAATGAACAAACAAACAAGTAAATAAACAAGTGAACAAATAAATAAATAAGTAAATATTGAATTAATAGAATTTAAGTGATTTAGTGAATATGAATTCATATAGCTAATGAATTATATATAAAAGCAACATGTATTATAGCTATAGAATTAGATTAGAACAAGTTTTTCAATAGTAATATTCTTAATTATTATCTTATAGCTAGTTTTGATTATTTATATGAGCAAAGTTTGCACTTTATGTAGAGTAAGTAATCAAGCACAAATTTCTTTCTATATCTCTTTAACAAAGTATTCTTATTTTTTGTATAATCACTTCAGCACTGTTACTATAAGTTTTATACAAATCTTGAATTAATATTATAATAGTTTAAGCAAAATTATCAAGAGCACTATAAAAACTATTATCTTAATATTAGATTATCTGAATAAATTTGTGATAAAACTTATTGAACATTATATTAAATAAAGAAATTGTTATTATAATTCATAAACCTGTCTTTGAAATTGTATTACTAATAATATATTACTTATAAACTCATCTTTAATATTGTATTGCTAATAATAGATTATTTATCTTTGATCTTGTATTGCTGATAATACAAATATTATAATCTCTATAACTTTGACTCTGAAATTTTGAGAACTCTTTTTAGCAGTCCAGATTATTGCGTTTAAAAGAATATAACTATTACCAATCTTTAAATTATTTTATTATTAATATTTTTAGTACTTATTCACATTCAGTCTGATAGTTATAAAGTATTATTAATACTTTGAATTATTATTAAGACATTAAAAGTTTCCTTTGAATATTTCTTTAATATTTATAAATATCTTTGAATATTTCAAAATTCAATCAAAATGGTAACAAAAGTTTGATGCTTTCTCTGTGAATCAAAATCTTAAAAGAATTGTTACAGCTCAGAATTATCTCTAATTTCTTAATTTTTTAATTCTGATTATGTAACTAAATATAGATTATAAAGATAACAGAATTTTCAAATATATTAACATTATCTGCTATATCATATTTATCCAATATATATAACATATCCCATATTATAATAACTTAATCATAAATTATTTTATATAAATAAAGGATCTTTTGAATAAATCAAAAGATATTTATTGATCAATACAAAATTTAGCTAATCAATAAACTACTTCTTATTTATTGTTTAATGAAATTGTACATTAATTGATTTTATAATTATTAATCCTGTTATAATACTTATTTTATATATTATTGAATACTTAATTAGATTGCTATAGAATATCAATACTATATTGTTATAGAACTATTATTACACTAAGTAAATACAGAGAATATATTTATTAGTAGTAGTATTATCTATTGTTACAATTATGTTATAAAATTCATTAATTTCATAATTTGTAATATTTCATGAAATTATGAAAATCATATAAAGAA